CACTACCCTTATGGCAGAAAGTGAAGAACTTAAGAGCCTCTTGGTGAAAGTGAAAGAGAGTGAAAAAGTTGGCTTAAAACTCAACATTCAGAAAACTAAGATCATGGCATCTGGTCCCATCACTTCATGGCAAATAGATGGGGAAACAGTGAGAGACTATTTTTCTGGGCTCCCAAATGACTGCAAATGGTGATTGCAGCCATGAAATAAAAGACACTTGCTCCTTGGAAGAAAAGTTATGACCAACCTAGACAGCATATTAAAAAGCAGAGACATTACTTTGCCAACAAAGGTCCATCTAGTCAAGGCTATGGTTTTTCCAGTGGTCATGTATGGATGTGAGAGTTGGGCTATAAAGAAAGCTGAGTGCTGAAGAACTGATGCTTTTGATCTCTGACGTTGGAGAAAACCCTTGAGAGTCCCTTGGACTGCAAGGAGATTAAACCAGTCCATCCTAAAGGAAATCAGTCCTGAGTATTCATTGGAAGGACTGATGCTGAAGTTGAAATGCCAATACTTTGGCCACCTGCTGTGAAGAACTGACTCATTGGAAAAGACTCTGATGCTGAGAAAGATTGAAGGCGGGAGGAGAAGGGGATGACAGAGAATGAGATGGTTGGATGGTATCACTGACTCAATGGACATGAGTTTGAGTAAACTCTGGGAGTTGGTGATGGACAGGGAGGCCTGGCATGCTGCAGTCCATGGGGTCACAAAGAGTTGGACACAACTGAGTGACTGAACTGAACTGGGACACAGCTACATTCATTTGGTTACTTATTCTGTGGCTGCTTTTTGTGCTAAGGTAGCATAGTATTGTGGTCAAGCAGATACCACATCTTATCTCTTCGCACTGCTGCCCAGCACACTATAATCTCAGTGACAGACATATCACTTCAAAGCATTTCCAGCACCATCCATCTTATCATCTATCTGTGTGAAAAGATGTTTGTAAAGATAAAATACTCAAAAGTGAAAGCATTAGTCACTCAGTCGTGTCTGACTCTTTGTGACCCCATGGACTGCAGCCCATCGGGCTCCTCTGTCCATGGAATTCGCCAGGCGAGAATACAAGAGTGGGTACCCATAGTGTTCTCCAAGCAATCTTCCTGACCAAGGGATCAAACCCGGGTCTCCTGCATTGCAGGCAGATTCTTTACCGTCACAGCCACCAGGGAAGCCCAGAATACCCAAAACCTCTTCACAAATCGGCAGCTGTAGATAAACATCTGCAGCTGAGTTTGATGATTTGGAACACTAACTTTCAACCTCAACTAAACTAAGTGCTATGCTCAAAAACAGGAATTCAGGGATTTCCCTGGGAGTCCAGTGGTGAGGACTCTACAATTCCAATGCAAGGGGCGGGGGTTCCATCCCTGGTTGGAAAACTGAAGATCCGGCATGCCACATGGAATGGCAGAGAAACAAACAAAAACAGGAATCCAATTCTTTCCAAGAGTAGACCTACATTACACACATATTGCATTCAATTGTTTTTCTCATTTCATCAATAATTTGCCATCCATTGTTTCTTGTTATTTAAGAAACTACATAAAACACTCAATTGTGCTCCATTACCAACAAAGCCTAAAATATTTACTATCAGCCTCCTTACAGAAAAAGTCTTCTGGCCCTTGAGCAAGATACTCATATCCCCAGTCTCAGGGTGAAGGCCATGTACCCCAAGGTCATGTAACATGCCTGCCAACATGGTTGGTCAGGGGGAACACCAGGATTTAAACCCAAGCAGCTTGGGTGCAGAGTCTGTGCTCCCAAAGGCACACTGCCTTCGAGGACTTTCTCTCCAGCTGAGACACCCGCCACCCCAGCACCTCCGGCCCAAACAATTGACTTACGTGCCTGTAGGATCTACTGCCACAGCCCGGACCCCACCTCGGTGACAGAGAATCTTTGCCAGTGGCTCCTTCATGGCTGGGCTCCATAAAGACACAGTCCCTGCACATCAGAGGAGAAGAGCAGAAGTTACTAATAGGGTGCTGAGGCGACTAAACCTGCAAAAGAGGGGGATCCAGGGCCAAGAGGTAACACAAGAGGGGAGCAGAGGGGCAACCCGAAGGGCCTCGCTGAGTACAAATATAGACGAAAAGCTGGGGCAGTCCCTGGTGGTCCAGAGGGTAGGACTCAGAGCTTTCACTGCTATGGGCCAAGGTTCAATCCCCGGTCAGAGAACCAAGATCGTACAAGTCGCGTGGCATGGCCAAAAAAAGAAAAGCCAGACAGGATGGTGAGGGTTAAAGCTCTGCCGGGGACCAACCGTTACTATGTCCGAGATGGATGACGGCGTTGCGAGGGTTCTGAGTCATGACGCTGAGCCGTCCAGCCCGAGCATTCAGAGCTGCCACGATCCTTCCCACGGACACGTCCAGGTAGGCCAGAAAGCCTGTCTCTGACTGTGAGAGAGAGAGGGAGGAGGCCGGATTGGCCTCTGCCCTGCCCCTACGGGGACCCCAGGGTCCTCTCAAGGCTGCCACCCCGCCCCTGAGCTCTGCAGTCGCCCACAGCTGTGGCCAGGAGGAAGTGGAAGGGCAGGAACTCAAGTCGGGTGACTCGGTCACAGCGGCGGACGCAATGGAGCTCGATGCCCTGGTTGTCGTAAACGTGAAGCCAGCGGCTCTGGGCGACGGCGAGCAGTGCCTCAGAATGCAGAAACCTGAGAGGGCGGAGGAGCGGTGCGGTGTGAAGGGGAGTCACCGGCTGTCATTCCATCAGTGATGGGCTGTCTCATCCCCACCAGCCGCTGACCAAGGCCACTGACCGGACGTCCCGCACTGCCTCCATGACGTTGATCTCACACGTGAGCTTCTTTGTTACCCAGTCGAGGGCAGCCACATGACCCCGGCGTCCTCCAAAAGCCAGGTGTCTGTTGAAGGTGGAGGTCAGGCAGGGTATCAGTACAAGGTGTATGTGTAGGGCGGGCACCCAGACTCAAGGGTCTGTCCCACGCCAGCTCCTCTTCTCCAGGTGACAGGAGAGATGTTTCCATACACACTTATCACACATGCAAGCAAATAACAAGACCCTCCCCACATCAATAACCCAGATGTACACTACTACGGCTGAGATGAGTTAGGCTAAAGTCATTGGAATTCAACCTTACCTCCCAGTGCTAGAGTAATTTAGCCTGTAGGGTCCAAACTGCCTCAAGTTCAAGTCAAAATGCTGGGAAAAGGAACAGTGAAAAAAAGAAAAGAAAAAAAAAGTTGGTTCCTTTCAGGAATTTTCTAGTCCCCACTCCCGTCTTACTCTGCACCATCAGTCAACCCACTGGCTCCTTTTCCATTCTCAGGCTCACTTTGGCTGCACTTGCAATGTCCACAGCCTCCACTATATCAGCCTGGCGAATCTTTGCTGTGTCTTCCCCATCCTCTCCTTCCAGAAACCTGCAAATGAGGGTGATAGTTGCGTTAAAGCTTCCTAATAAGAAGTGGGTGTCCCGGCATCGCAATCAGAAACGAGAGCCCCATAAAGCATGGGTTGCGGAGGCCCACATTAAGGTCCACTCACCCAGGTTCTTCAGCAAGCAGAAGCTCAGATCGAGCAGCTCTGACACTTGTTTCCTCTTCTTGTGCTTCAGCCGCCACAAGTCGGCTTCGGGTCTTGGTCTTCGGATGTGGTACCTACAACATTGGTGGTGCGGATGGAGTAGGAGACGGACCAAGGGATGTGGGGGTCACAGGAGAGCCCCGCCTCCATTCAACTCACCCAGAAACTCCCTCCTGCAACCGCTCCCCCCTCTCCGACTAGTCCTCACCTCCTTGGATTTGTCAATGCGACAGTACTTCTGAACCACCTCCACACTGACCGGGGCGGGGCCTGCAAATGGGTCCTGGGCCTGTGGCAGGGAGGAGGCAATTAAGAAACAGGCTCGAGCTGACCCCAACCCCCCGACCCTCAAAGCACAAGGTAACTTGCCTCGGCCCCCCGGGAGGTCCCAGGCTCACCCCAGATAAGCTCCGCTGAGGCCCCGGACTCTTCAGTTCTCGGGGCTTCTTGGAGATCCGAAACTTCTTTGAGGTGTCATTTTTCTTTGGCTTCTGGGGGCGGAGCTCTCGATTCCTCTTCCGTTTACGAGGGGGACCTGGAGAAGCTCCGGCAGCTGTCCCAGTGGTCTCTTGCTCCCAGTATCGCCGCGGTTTCTACCAGCAGAGCAGGATCCCTCGTATTCCGCTGCCCTTCGCTCCGCCCCTCCAGCCCCGCAACTAAAAACTTCCCTTCCACCCCAAGGAGGTCCCTACCTTCTTCTTGGCCTGCAGTCTGTCCTTCTTGGGTGGGACATTACTGCCCGGCTTGGGGATTGTCTCCATCCAGCCCACTCGAACCACGATCCACGTGCAAACTCCTCTCCACAGTCCCACAGTCGGATGGAAAACTCCCGGAAGTCCTCCGGGCCTCATCCAATCAGAGCCGTCCCAGGTCTGAATCCTCCTAGGCGCCATCTTTAATAAGGGCGTGCTCTCCACTGAGGGGCGGGGCCAAGGCCCCCAGAGAGGCTACTTATGTCCAAGTGATGAAAGACGGGCAGTCCGAGGCCAAGACCCAAGCAACCGTGCAGATTCTTTTCCCATCTCGGTTTCTCCATCTTGCCTTAAATCCTTCCGAGTCTGGTCTTTTTAACAGAACGCCATTCATTGACCATGTTAGAACTACATTTCCCGGCATGCGTCGGCTGACAGGTTCCGGCGCCGTCTTTCCCCAGCATTCTCTATTTACTTCCGGGTTCACCAATACTGAAGAGAGAACGTGAGTCGAGGAGCGGTTTGGCTGAGAGGTTAGGGGTTCCGTCTCTCCTACCACTCCCTGAGGCCGGCGGTGAGTCGATATCCCGGACCAGGAGAGACTGCAGTGGGTGCCCCGAGGGGCTTTCTCAAGAGGGCTGTCACCTCCGCAGGCCAGAAAGGGTACCTTTCTGAGCCCGGGTACCTTCCAGAGCGTGAGACCCAGCGGCCCTCTCCCGCTGCCCGCAGGCTTTAGTCCCCGCCATGGCTGAGCTAATCCAGAAGAAGCTGCAGGGAGAAGTGGAGAAATATCAACAGCTGCAGAAGGGTAAGAGAGCGGGGTAGGGGTGACCTCGCGGCAGTTCCCTCAGAACCCAAGTCTATACCCAAATAATGTATTCTGTCCCACCCCTGGCCTCAGCCTGCGGTGCTTCCCCTTCTCTGTATTCTCCCCATTCCCTGTCCCGCCTGCCCACCCTTGCCTGCTTCCTCAGCTCCACCTTCTCACCAGGACTGTGGTGGTCGGGTGGCACATGAGATGTCTCTAAACAAACCTTTCCATCCGCCAGACTTGAGTAAATCCATGTCAGGGAGGCAGAAACTAGAGGCACAACTAACAGAGAATAATATCGTGAAGGAGGTGAGACTTGAGATTTGTGGCGGGAGGAGGGACCTGTCCTGGTAGTGATTCTGATCATGTTTTTCCCACTCCTCCATCAGGAACTGGCCCTGCTGGATGGGTCCAACGTCGTGTTTAAACTTCTGGGGCCGGTGCTGGTCAAACAGGAGCTGGGGGAAGCTCGGGCCACAGTGGGGAAAAGGCTGGACTACATCACAGCTGAGATGTGAGTCTTCCTTCCACCCCACTGTGATGTACCTGATCAGTTGGGATAAAGGTGTTGAGAAACCTTTGTGGAGTCATTCTCCAGAGTAGCCCCCTTTGAGCAGGTCCTTCAGCTCCTTCCTGTGTATCCCCTCTTCTTCATACTCCCCTTAGAGCTCAAGTTTCTCAGCAGTCCTTGTCTTCAGCACCCTCAAGAGTAAGTCTCACTAATTTTTCCTTATTTGCTTTCTTGCCTTTCCTCAGTAAGCGATATGAATCCCAGCTCCGGGACCTAGAGCGGCAGTCAGAACAGCAGAGGGAGACCCTTGCTCAGCTGCAGCAGGAGTTTCAGCGGGCGCAGGCGGCAAAGGCAGGGGCTCCTGGGAAGGCCTGACCCTGTCCTGGGGGGTGGGAGAGGGGAAGGAATGAGGCAGCTCTAGGGTCTATACTGTAGTTAATAAAATGTGAAAATATGTGGCATGTTCTGACCAGCCACTTCTGTTGTAATTGTCTCCATCCTTTCCTCTGGTCCCTTCCCCCTTCCTCGTATATCGCCTGCATTACTCTCTCAGATCCAAATACGTGCACTGGGATTTCTGTGTGGCAGAGTAACGCTTCTTTGAGACTAAAATCCTAAATGTCTCAAACCTCATTCTTGCCTGTAAATGCAAGGCTTAACTGTCTCTTGATTGGAAACAACCAAGGGCATTGACAGCGAAACAGTTTGGGGGAAAGTTAAGTTTAATTGAAAAACTCACAATTCTCTAACCTGCAACCCCAGAATGGAACATGGTAATCCTCTTTTGCTATCATTTCTTGTCATCCTCAAAATAGCCCTGGCATCTTAGTTCTTTTTAGGCTCTTTCTTCCTAGACTTTGTTTAAATGTAGCTTAAATTGATTTCAGATCCCAGCATATAATGCACTGTGATATTCTAAGACTTCCAAGTTTGTACATTGTCCACGAAGTGGTTCTTCCATTTCTTTGTCCTAAAATTGTCTTACGAATTCAGAGCCAAGGGTGTTTTTCATACTGATCACTTTAATTGGGTACTTGACTTGAGCATTTAACAACTGAGGAGAACAATGTAAGAGCCAGTAAACAGACCAGGGGTGGAGAAGTTGCTGGGGAGGAATAAACCATTCTGAGGAAACCATTCCCACCAAGCCCTTGCATCCAGCTTTTCACGAACAGATAAGGTTGGGCCCCTCTTTTTCCATGGGGTCCACCTTCAGCCAGCTCCCCACCCCCATTCCCAGCAGCTAGTTTGTACAGACTGTGAGGACAGGAGCAGAGTTCAGGTAGTGTTTTGGTTTATTAGTGTTGTCACAGTGACAGGAACCTCTAGAGAAGGAGAGGAGGCTCCTGCGAGAAATTTCTCTTGCCATTCCCTTCCCCTGGGACTCAGAGCCTCTAGGCTTTTCCTCTCCTCCTCCTTCCAGGCCTTTCCTTGGCCCTTGGCATGCTAGGATGTGGCCAGGAATCAAAACCAGATCTTTTCCCCAGTACTAGCTGTGTGCTGCATTCACGGCAGGTGAGAAGCTATACACAGGTATCCAGCTCAGGCACCAAGATCACCAGTTTCACAGGGCTGAGTCGGCTGTCTGCTGAACCAGTGGTGCTTCACTGCCCCAGGGTGGTTGGCCACCCTTCCAGATATTTTCCCTTTGTGGCAACTGCCACCATTCAGGATGGCTCCCCACATTTGGAACGGCCACCATGAATTCTATGAACCACCAAGGCTTCCTCCTCAGAACAGTGCCCGGGCAATCTTCCTCCCTGTGGCCTTGATCCTGGGAAAGGAACCCCCTCCTCCCTCGCTCGGGGGAGTTCCCGAGGCAGAAGGGCCACTAGCGAGGCCCACTGGAGCACTGGAGGGCCGCCGCCGCCGCAGGAGGAAATCATGTGAGGCTCCGTCCATGGCGTAGAAGACGTTGGCCGAGGCGGGGATGGTCAGCTCTGAAGGTTCAGAGAGAGGTGTCAAGTGCAGTCATTCCCGCACGACCCCCTGGGTGTGGCAGCACTGCCACCAGTGGGCAACCCTCTCCTCCCGAGTCTGTTTTCCCTCCCAGCCCCTGACCTCGCTCCCCTGGGAGCAGCTGCACTAGCTCGTACTCCGAAGCTACCGCAGAATCACGATTGTTTTTCTTAAGGACACGACTGATGACACTTGGAGCCTTGTCCTGACTTGTCACCTGGCAGGACAGCAGACCACAAGAGCAATTACTTGCAGTGATGACCTTGGCCTTGCATCCTTCCAGCCCCAGCCAGTGATCCCATCAGAGAAGGCTGCTGCTGCTGCTAGTCGCCAAGTCGTGTCCGACTCTTTGCGACCCCGTGGATTGTGGCCCGCCAGGCTCCTCTGTCCATGGGATTCTCCAGGCAACAATACTGGAGTAGGTTGCCATGTCCTTCTCCACAGAGAAGGCTGCCCTTGTCCAAACTTTTGAGTTATCAGGGAAACCCAACATGGTGGCTGCCTGGACCCCATGGGCCAGCCCACATGGTTGCCAGGCTGTTCCCTCTGGGGAAACCACTGTTGGTTCTGAAAATCTCAGAGGACAGCCAAAGTTCAAAGTGCAGCAGCTAATACAAAATAACCTTCAAAATAAAACACAGCTGCTAAAACCAAAGGTCAATTAAAACTAAAATCATCCTCCCGTTTGGCTGTTGACACCTAAGACATCATCTCCACCCCCACCTCCCGACCCACAGCTCCCTCACCAAGATGCTCTTATAGACACTGCCGTCTTCCCCCAGCTCCATCTGGACTCGGATGATTCGGCAATCAGAGGCCCCTGGCCCAGGTGCCCCTCCCCCACAGCCAGGTCCCCTGGAGGCCCCTTCTGCACCCCCACTGAGCGGGGAACCACAGGAGGCTGAGCGGCGGTGACCTCGAGAAGGCCTCGGGGAGGAAGTTGGGGGAGAGAGGTGGCTGGGGTCAGCTGGACTCTGCAGGGCTGGGGTGCTTTCCAGGGCGGAGTCCAGAGATGAGACAGACGGCCACTTCATGTGCTGGGGACCAACAACACGGAACTGGCATGAAGGCAGGAAAGCCAAGGCAGAAAGAGTCACAAAGTCAGGGTCTGTGTAGAGATCAGAGGTCAGGAGTGGAGCTCACCTGGGCCAGCCGGGTCAGCAGTGGGGCGGGGGTTCCAGGCACCTCCTCTGCCCCCACACTGGGCCGGTCCCAAGAGACAAGCGGGCTGGGACCCCCGACAGAACCCAGCACCCTGGAGTGGCAGGAGATTGGGAGGGTCAGAGGAAGAAGGACAAGTCCCCAAGAGACTGCCCTCCAACCACTGACTCCCTCACTCTGTCCACTGCGAGATGACCAGTGTCGGCCGAAGCACCCGCGGGGCAGGCGGGTCACCGCTACCAGGCGTCTCCACCTCACAGGACACGCGATGGCTGGGGAGGGGGCAATGGGCAGAAGTCAGGACGGGACACACCGACCCCCACATTCAGCCTGTGCCCTGGAGTCCCAGCCGCACCCAGCCAGTCACCTCTGTGCCTCTGTCAGTGGCCGGAGCCCCTGTAGCCACCGCTGGATATCGGGGTCAGGTCGGAGGTCATAGCCACGACATTCGTTCTGGAGCCGCCGCAGCTCAGACAGGACAGCAAACTCCTACGAAGGAGCCCACAGACTGCAGTAGGCCTGATCCAGGGAGCCCTGACTGCCCTCCTCTCCCCTTCCTGGGACGGGATACAGGGGGCTGGCATCTGGCCAAGCACTCTCCTCACCTTCCTCCGCTTGTCAAAATTGATGTATCCATTCTGCAAGGGAAAGGGAGTGGGGTGAAGGTGCCGACCCTGCCGCAGAGAGCATATCCCCTCTCCCCACACACACGCATCACTGGCCTCTGTGACTCCTCTGGCCCCCTGCTCTTCCCCCTCTCATCCATCACACCCTCAGCCCGCTATCTCACCCTTTACATTGAACATCACAGGTAGAAGTTGCGGCCAATTTACAGAGATGAAAATTAGAGATCAGAAAAGGAACGTACCCAAGGTCCCAGCTTTGGTTTATTTATCAAACTCTGTGTACATATGCTTACACCTCAGGCATCCTCTGAGCGCTCGCCAAACACTAATTCATTTAACCCTCATAATAAAGGGTTGATGTAGATACTGTCACTAGTTTCCCACTTACAGATCACTGAAGCACAAGAAGGTTAAGCAGATTTGCCAAAATAACAGAGTCCTGGCCCTCACTGCTTCTGCCTTGCAGCCCCCTCTGGACACTGGCCTGTCTGACCCTGAGTTCTCCATTCCATCACCATAATGCACACACACAAACACACACACTACTGACCTCCAGCTCATCCTTAGAGGCCGCGTCCAGCATTACGAGGTCTTTTAAGAAGGTGCCAAGGTATGGGACCACACCCTGAAATCAGAGATCAGAGAGTCAGTTACCCCTGCCACTAATCCCAGGGCTCCCCCTCCCTCTTGCACTTTCCTACCCCACTGCCCCAGAACAAGTTTAATTCTCCTCCCCCTGCTGTGTCCCCCTTCCCAACCCTAGCGCTTCCACCCCCACTGGTCACTCACCCCACCCCGGGAGGCAGACCTCGGGGACTTCTTGGAATTTGGCTCCAGAGGGGGCTGCAGCTTCACCTCCTGATGGTGACAGAACACGGTGACATGGGGGGTTGAGGGGGGCGGGGATGGCGGGAATGCCAGGGAATGGGGCCTCACCTGCAGCAGGAGCTCCCGGCTCTGGGAATAGTTATCCTCCTCAGAGAAAATCTGGCAAAGGCTGGAGAAGACTCTGAGGCTGTCCCTGGGGGGTGGGGGGCAGCAGCCTTGAGGAGGGGCCTAGCTCAGCTGCCCCCTCCCAGCCCTGACTCCCCTCCAGGGCCCCATCCTCCCCACCTGGTTGCTTCCCCCCAGGCTGCCCGAAGCCTGTGGATGGGGCTGGATTGCAGGGCTGATACCACAGCATACATTGAAGAGAAATTTCGGAGCAGACGGCACTCCTGTGGGGTCACAGACAGAGATCACAGCTATGGGACCTCTTTCCACACCTTGATCCCTAACAGGGTCAAGCCTCTCTCTTACTTCTGCCACTCGGATCCACTTCTCCAAGAGCCGGGCCCTCTGGGGAGGACGAAGTGGCCGTACGGTCACCTCTCCAAGCCCTTCTCCGGTTGAGGTAGCCCCCAGGACAGAGCTGACCACTGCCCCTGCCACCTTGTTGAACTGTGTGACAGTCGCCCGGACAGATGGGCAGAGGTGAGAATGTCCTGGCCGGTCTCTGTGACCCCACAGGCCCCCCAGGCACTGAGAGGGGACCAGATTGAGAAACAGCTCCTGCAGGGCAGAGGTAAGAGGTTAAAGTTCATAGTCAAGTGAGGTCAGCCTTCCAATGTCAGGTGAGGATCTCAGGTGGCCAAAGAACCAGAGGGGCATGGGGTCTGAAGGGCAACAATCAAGGGGACACGGGGGAAGGTCAAAACTGGGTGGACAGCGGAGGCTGGGAGCTGGACTAGGAAGGACTGGAAGCCAGGTAAGGATGTGGAGTTAGGGATAGGTTAGTAGGGGAGCAGGGGTCATGGGGTCAGAGGTCAGGGTCTCACCGCATCTAGCAGGGTCAGCTGTTCGGCCAAGTGGTCAGCGAGGTACACCAGGACATCCGTGGGGTCAGCAGGGGGATCGCCGGGGAGGGCCAGGGGCTTAGGAAGTTCAGGGGTCTGGGGGTCCACCCGGGACCGGAGGTTGCGGATGAGGTCAGCGCCGCCCCCCACAACACCCTCCCTTGCTGCATACCCTGTCCGAAGAAAGAAGCTCTCAAGCCGGTCAAGCTGACCCTTGACCTCAGAGCCAAAATCCTCAGGGTGAGAAGCCAACCAGGTTGACAGTACAGAGATGGCTACCCTGGGAGAAGGGGAATTCACCAGGAATTAGATGTCAGGCTGCGGCTTGGCCGGAGAAAGCTGTAAGGTCAAGAATCGGGGTCACTTACCCTTTTGTCCTCTCTAGCTCATCAGCGGGATGAGATTCAAGAGCTTCCAGCCTGGGGAAGGGAAGAGATTCTATGTGTCCATGTTTTCCAAAACCCTAGCGGTTTTGACTATTTGGGTGGGATGGTCTGGCTTTATAAAGTCAAGACATGTCAATGACCTTTGGTCCCTTATTAGCCTGACCTGTCAGCCATAAGCCCTAGCAGGGCAGGCGTGGAGGTGAAGGCCCGGTGAGTGGCCAGGAAGGCTGCTGTGAAGGTCATGTCAGCCCCTGATGTACAGGCATCCAGCAGGTGTCTGACCAGGGCCTCCAGGGTGCCAGCTCGGAGTTTCCGGGAGGAACGCGGAGGAGGCCTTGGGGCCTGGGGGAGACAGAGCGCCAGCCACTGACCCTTTTTTCAACTCTCCCCCACTAGATCTCTGGGAGAAATCCCAGACCTAGATGATTCAGCCTCATTGTATGAGGATTCAGAGAGGGTAAACAACTCGAACTAAGTCACACAGCTGAGTCCAGTCTTCAAACCTCCAACCTAGTATTCTGGCCAGAAAGGAAGCGGGAGGCAGGGGAACTAGAAGGTGGTAGGTCAAAGGTGAGACGTCAAAGTTATAATCTCACCAAGGGATCAAGAGGCTGATACTGGCGACTTGTGACTGTAAAGGTAGCACCATCCTCCTCCTCCTCCCAGACAGACACAGGGGCCTGGAGGAGCAAGGAAGGGGAGGTCAGATGGTTCCACACCATGCCCCACTGCCCAACCCTCACCCCCCAGGCCCTGCTCCTCCCTCTGTACCCCTCACCTGTTGTGGAGGGGGACAGTACCAGCGAGTACGAGGGGTGGGGGGGGCTGGTGACCCCAGGTCTTCCCCACTGGGGCCCAGACAGCCCCCCCCAAGCCGCCTCAGGGCCCGGTGGAGTCTAAGGGGTTGCAGTGGGGAGTTGGAGGGAATGCAGGAACCCTGAGCCTGGTGACCGCTGCAGCCCCTTCCCCCCAGAGCTGAACCCCTGAACAGCCAAGAATAAGGTGCAAAGGTAGGAGGAGGGGGAAGCAAGAGAGGCAGAAAGTCTGAGGCACAGACCTTGAGAAGCTGAAACCTCAGTCACGGGCACAACCGCATGCTCCGCCCTCCCCCGCAGGAACTAGCCAAGCCCAAAGAGTAAGTCCCCTTAGCCCCCTTTCCCCGGGTCCCTCCTCAGCTCTGGAGACCCCCCTCAGGGCGGCGGCACCGATCCCAATACAGGAAGGAGAAGGGGAAGTGGGGATGGTGTGTGTGTGTTGGAGGGGGGGTGGTTTAGACTCACAGAGTCATGTGACCCGGCCGCTCCCCCAACCGATCCCGAAAAACCAGCCCTGCTAGTCACCCGTCAGTCCTCACCCAGACTCTGGACAGGAGCGTCCAAAGCCTCGGGGCCCCAAATCCAACTTTCGGCCCCTCCTGAGGCCCGAATCCTACTCCTGCCACCGCCATTAGCCCCGGAGAGAAGCAGGTGACCACTAACCACTCGGCCCGGGGCGGCCCTCGACGGTCCGAGCGCCTCGGCTCCCGCCTCCGCCCAGTCCCCGGCGGCGGAGGGGGGAGGGGTCACGAAATCGAAGGGTTCCCTCCCCAATCCCGGAGTCGGAGGAGCGGGTTACTGTGGAAACAAACCCCTCCCCGCCAAACAGACACCCGGAGAGAGACAGGGACCTAGACTCCACGCCCGGAGGGACGGGCCACTCGGCTCTGGCGGAGAGGGCCAGGGACCCGCAGGGCAGCCAGCCACACGCGCCGGGCGGGAACGGCGCAGGCTCCCGAGTCCCTGTGCCGCACAGAACCTCGGAAACGTCGGGGCTCCCCGCAGGGGGACGCGGGCCGACTCCGGCGAGAGGCGCGGCAGGGGCTGAGGCAGGAAGAGACGGAGGGACACAGACACGCAGGGGGGAAGAGTCTCCGGGACACACGCCGCCCGCGCCTCACCTCGTCGTCGTCGTCGTCGTCCTCCTCCTCCTGCCCCCCGCCCCCGCCCCGGCCACCGGGGCCCCCACCCTCTTCGGGGTCTCGACTCCGGAAGCTGCTCAGCACGACTCCCCCGGGGGGGCTCGTGTCCCACAGCAGCCGCAGGGGCCGCGGGAGCATGGCCGGCTGAAGGAGTCAGCGAGGTCGGGCCATGGGGGCGTCTGAGGAGAGACAGGAGCGGGGAGGGGAGTCAGGGGGCGCGGGGCCCCAGAAGGTGGGCTCCAGGTAGCCGCCGGGGAGCCCCGCGGGGAGGCGGGGCGGGGAGCAACGCTGCAGGGGCACACGGGGCCTGGCGTTGTGTGGACCGGAGGTGAAGAGCACGGGCTCGGGCGGGGTTACGGGGGGCTCTGGCTCTGACCTGCTCAGGACGGGTGGGGGCAGCGCGGCTCCCGAATCGCCGTTCCCGTCGGTCTCCGGCTCCGGATCACGTCCCCGGACCGAGCCCGTCCCTGGCTTTTCCGCACCCCCTTGTACGCCCCCCCCCCCCCGCCCCGCCAGACTCCCGGGCCCTCCCGCCCTTTCCGCTCCCCCCCGACGTCCGCCCGCCCCGAGAGCAGGAGCCAAAAAGGGAAGGAAGTGAGGACAGGAGCCAGGGCCGCCGACTTAAGAGGAGCGCCGGACGCTCGGGGGCCGGGACCCAGGAGCCCGGGTCTCCAGCCCGACTGTCCTCGGGCAGCCTGGAGCCCACGTTGCCCTGCGCTGAGTGGGGACAGCGATTCCCGTTTCCAGCCCCCGGGGAAGGGCGAGAGCCGAATCTGACATTCCCCTCCTCGCACACCGCGAGGCTAAAACTCCCGCGGGGAGCGTGTCGGGGGGACGGACCCAGTTTCTCTAGGACGCCAAGGCTCCACTCCGCCCCCACCCACGCGTGTAGCGGGCCAAAATCCGTTCCGGGTTTTCCGGGGAGCCCGGGGCTCCCGCCTACTCGGGAGGGGGCGGGGCAGGAAGCAGCCACTTCCGGTCCCAGAGCGGGAGCCGGGGGTTGTTTCCGGCGCCGAGGCCAGCCTTTCCGCTGCCTTAGTAACCCGCGAGTGCCCGCGGCCTGAGGGCACGCTGTCGGCCGTGGGTGGCGCCAGGCTTCAATCCCTTCCAAAGGAGCATCGGGTGCCGCCAAGGGGTTAGAGGCAGGGCCGTGGGAAGGAACCATGCGTGAGTGGAAGTGTCACAGCGCCTGGAAAGAGGGTCCCTGAAGTAGAACTGAGACGTCCCTTTAAAAACACTGTAACGAGTTTATTCCCACACGATTAGACCGGCACCCTGCGTCCGTCGGGCCGACCGTCCTGGCCCTCGAAGGTCCCCCTCAGCCGAGCCGCTGCATCCTTCTTCCAGTAGTTTATTTGATCCAACACGTTTTTTAATCTTTCGGACGAAAAAAGGCTAACTTCTTAAATTGAGCACCCTCCAGCGGGCCCTGTGCAGGCGCGGGAGACACAGCAGGGAAGGACAGGGCCGTCCCAGCCTTCCAGGAGCCAACAGTCTGGGCAGGGAGGCAGGCTTTTAACGACGACTCGCACAATCACTTAAATACAACCGTGGTGAAACGCACCAGAGGGACACGCGGCGGTCTGAGGGGGCGAGGCTCACCTGGTCTGTAGTCCAGGCAGAGGGAACAACGCTCTGAACGCTCTGGGACCCAGAGGGAGTGGAAGGCCACTGGAGAAAACGATCAGCTTTAGGTGTAATGAGCATCGGGAGGAGGGCGGGAGAGCACTAAGCGGGCTTGAAAAGGTAAGCAGTGGCTGGAGCGCAGGGATGCACTGAGTCAAGGCAGGAAAGAATGGATTTGGCCTCTAGAGCACCGGTTCCTGTCCCAGAGGTCCCTGAGACTATTTCAAGGGCTACGTGAGGTTTAGCCTATTTTCGTAACATGTTACTTGTTACATGTTACTTGCCTTTTCACTCTCGTTCACTAAAAAATGTACACTGGCATTTTCCTGAAGCTACATGACATGCACTGACATCGTCCCCACAGCTAATGGAACGTGTTTCTGTGTCTTCTCTGTATTAAATTGTTCTGAGTTTTGAGTTCTAGTACAATAAATATCTGTGGCTTATAACCTACATAAGGGAAAGCTTTATAGAGTCCTTAATAATTTTTAAGAGATCCTGAGACCAAAAATTTTGAGAACCGCTGCGCTAGAGTCCTAAGGAGGTGAATGCCTTGTGTCTTTTCAGAAAGCGTTCCAGCGGCTCAGTGGAGAGAGACTGGAGGGAGCAAGGACAGAGGGCATACAATTTTGGGGAGTTATTTCAGTAGCTTAGACCAGAGAGGATGGTGGCTTCCCCAGGATGGTGGTGAGCTGGCCTCACTCTGTTTTCTGGAAGAGAAATAAAAAGGTGAGGAATTCAGGGTTTTAGAAAGCACAGTGAAGTGCTCATGGTCAGTCCAGAAACAAGTGAACGTCATGGGCACAGAGGTGGCAGCAGAAAAAGGCCAACATTTTCTGTGTATTTTAAGCCTGGCAGATGCTGCACCAAGTGCTTTTGCTCCTGCATCCTTCAAAGGAGATGCCCTATCTCGTTAAATCCTTCCAACAGCCCTCTGAGGCTCTGCTGACCAGTATGGTAGCCACCACTCACCACAAATGCTCACTGTTGAGCATCTTAAATGTGGCTAGTCCAAACTGAGGTTTAAAATAAACCACTGCTTTTGAAGACTTAGGATGGAGAAAACATTATATTTTCTTATACTGATGACATGTTGCCATGCCAACATTTTGGATATATTAGATATCTTTTACCTTTTTAATGCAGTCCCTAGATTATGTATTTAACTTTACATATGTGCCTTGTGTTATATTTCTATAGGACATCACTGCCTAAGTCATTTTTCCCCCTTTAGAAAAGGGGGGAAACACCCAAGGAAACAGGTGTAGCCTGTTTGAAGTGGCAGGATTTAATGCAGGTCTGTGTGAATTCCAAGGCTGGATTATGCCCACCAGGCCAGCAGCCTCCCTCTTGGGTGAGGAGCTGGGGAAAGGGGATAAAATGAGAAGGGAAAAATAAAGGAAAGTGGAGTGTTGTTACCTTTTCCATTGAATTCTGTGTGGTCAGGTAGGCAACTGTGGAGAGAGATTGAGAAGAGATGGGATGGGGGAGCAGTAGGGCAGAGGGATGAGTGTCAGACTTCTGGGAGGAGGCAGATAATGCCTTGCCTCTCAAGGGTCCCAGTCTGGGTGGGGCTCACACTCACCAGCCCAGCTCAGTGCCTTCAGGAGCCCAAGGAGGAGAAAGGCAGACAGGAAGAGGCCGATGCCATCCTCCAGAGAGGGGCCAGAGAAACCTGGCAGGCAGAAGAGGCAAGAGAGTGAGTCTGAAATTCCCAGGTACATCCCCCACCCCCACCCCATTTCTCTGTCCTCCAGGCTCTTACCAGCCACCTGCAGGGTGACCTCAGCGCTGCGCCCCAGGGCAGGCAGGCTGGGGTGGTGGACCCGGCAGGCATAGCGGGCCCCATGCTGCTCACTGGTGACTGGGGGCGGCTGCAGATGTGCGTAGAGGCTCACAGAGCCATCTGAGTGATGTCTCAGGGCCGAGAGCCAGCTCTGGCCCTCAGCCTTCTGAAAGCGACCCTCTGGCCCACCCCGAAGCTCCCACTCCACCTCCAGGCCCTGGGAGGGGTAGAAGTGGGACACAAGGCAGAGCAGCTCTGGGGGTGCCTCCCCAGGAGCAGCCCATACAAGAGCCGCTGGTGTCAGGGTCACCGTGGGGGTTTCTGGGGAGAGAGGAAGAAAGGAGCATGGGGAATTGATCTACACAGTCCTCCCTGGGGTCCCTGTGTGCCCTCTGGCTTCCCCAATACTGAGAGGTATTTAGGGGTTTCCTCCCAGGGTGGGGAATCCACCATCTCCCCATTGGTGTTTTGCAGGAATCTCCATGCCATGTCCCCAGCCTCAGGGACCCCTTCTCCTTCAGATTTGGGAATCTCCATCTGAAAGCCCCTTAGACCCCTAGGAACCCTTTACCCATTGCCCCTCTGACTTCCAGGGACCCCAGTCTATCTCCCCGTATTCACCCAGTACCGTTTCCTCCACTATCCTCCCATCCTGGAGCCCCCACAATCCTAGTGACCATCGTTACCCATGAGAACCCCCATCCCCTCACTCACTCTGTACAGCAAGCTCCAGGGTGATCTGCCCTTGTAGGTATGGCAGGTGGACAGTAGCCAGATAGGTACCCTCCTGGGAGGGCTGAACTGCAGGCAGCCAGAAGGTCCCATTTCCAGTCCATGGTCCCCAGGGCTCATCATCATCCCAAGCAGCAAATGCCACTGACCCCTCTCGGGCAGCTGGCACCTGCCCATTCAGTCCAGGAGTCACAGCTAGCAGCAGGTGCCCCTTACCCAGATGCTGGCGTCGCCACTCCAGCCCAAAGGGAGGCGGACCTGGGGCCAGGGAAGTAGCAGCCTTGGAGGTGAGGGGCACATAGGCAAAGCTCAAGTCCAGCAAGGCATCTTGTCCCATTTGGATGCGAGGGGTGGGGGTGTGAGTGAAGACAGTTAGGACAGCTGGGGATGGTGCGGAGAGAAGGGTAAGGAGGGGAAGAGAAAGAAGGAGGAAAAAATAGAGAAACTGGGTTATGGGGAGGACTTCACTCTTAATTTACCCACCCCTCCAAGGACACTTCCTTGGACACTCACCACCTCCCAGCCCTCCCTGCAAATCCCCTTTGCCCTGGGACTGTGTGGGACCCACTGTGGCTCAGAATGAGCAGAGAGGTCTCGAGGTGAATAAGCGCAGCCTTTAAAGGCTGCTGGGAACACACAGCCCATACTGCACCAGCCCTGGGGACGGAGGGATCTGAGGGAACTTGTGACACTACCTGAACCAGCCCACCAGTCTCCACATCCACCCTTGAAGAGCCAGGCCTTTCTTAGTTTGCTTGGTGAAGACAGTGATGACTCATGACTGTTAATCCTGTGGTGCTATACAGAGCATTTACTGACTCTGGAAGCTTCCGGCTCTAGACTAAACCTGATCACAGACCTTTGGGCTCTGCTGAGGCAAGTATAGGCTGGTTAAGTGCCTGGAGCCTGACTGCCCTGATCAATCCCAATTCAGCAGCTGTTGTATGGCCTTGGGCCAGTTAGTTTACTCTTCAGTTTCCTATTCTCCTAAATAGGGATAATGATGATGCTGCTAGCACCATCCCAAGGAGTTGTAGTAGTGAAGGTTAAGTCATTTAATATCTGCTACTGATCTGGGTAACAAAGACACCTATATATAAAAGCTGCTTACAATAGTGCCTGGAACACAGGACGTCTACAGAAGTGTTTGCTGTGATTACAGCCAGTCATTTGCCAGACAAACATAACATGTCCCAACTCAATAGCATCTCTAGAACATCCCCTGGCCCAGCTCCAGTACTGGTCTTCCCTGCCTTAAATCATCACCACCAGCCCCCAGGCACTAAAGGCAAGCATTTGCAACCCCTAAGATTCCTTCTAATTCATTCATTCGACTAATATTGATTGAGGGCCTAGGATGTTCAAAGTTGATGAGAGTGGTGAACAAGACAGGCAGCCCCTGCCCTCAAACTGTGCAGTCTAATAAGAAAGACAGACTGCCAAATATAACATGCTATGTGCCATCCCCACGAGGCCCTAATTCTGTCTCCCAGATAGATGTTACACTTGTTTCCCACTCAAGTGCTCATCGATATACATTTGGACAGTTACAGCAGCCTCCTCTCACATCTCACTCTCCTTCATTTCATCCCCCACACTATAACATGGCTACAAGTCTGACCTGGGCACTTGCCTGTTTAAAAATCCCAGTTACCTAAGCAGCTAGCAACTAAAAGCAGAGGCTGGAGCTAGATGGCCCAGGTTCAATCCCTGGCTTTGCTTCTTACAAGTTGTGTGTCCCTGGACAAGTTACCTAACTGCTCTGTCTCATATATCTTCATCTGTGACATGGTATAACATCAGTACCTAGTTCTTATGGTTGTTCAGAGGAATAAATAAGATTATGCCTATAAAGTGCTTAGAACAAGAGTTGGTGTATAGAAAATGTTTAGCTGTTACTATTTTCATTACTGTCATCATCATGGTGAAGGATTTGCAGGGTATCTTGGAAAAATGACTTAATCTCTGTTTTTCCCATTAGTCCAATGACTGATCCTTGCCTACCTTTTGTAGGAATCAAGTAAAATGACAGGCTTTTGGAAAAATGGCACACACATACATACACATACACATGAAATTTCTGATGATTCACTATCACTTATAAACCCCAGCTTTCAAGGAACTTGTTAATCTAGCCCCCAACCTCCCTTTCCAGACTTCTCTTGCACCCTAAGAACCAGCCACGGAGGAGCCCTTTCTATGACCAGTAGAAAATATGTTGTCACTGGGCTTTTCTTCGCTTTGTTCGACTGCCAGAAATGTCTGGGTCTTCCAAGTGGAAGTAATTTTTTTTTCCCTCTTGTGATTATTCTTGGTTTTTGGCTGTGCCACTTGGCTTGCAGAATCTTAGTTCTATAACCAGAGATTGAACTGGAGCCCTTGGCAGTGAAAGCATAGGAGAGTCCTAACCACTAGACCACCAGGGAATTCCCTACTTTTATGTAACTTTTAATCCTAGCTTCTAAGGCCTACAAAGTTAAACTTCTCTGAACCTCATAGGATTGTTTTTGTTCAAGAGAGTAAAAAAAGTAAGCAATTTATTTATTTAGTTTATTTAAATCCAGAAACACACTTTTGAATTGTATGAATCAATCTGTAGAATTAATAAACAAATCTTAAGCTAACAGTGCTGTTTAATATCGGTTATTGAAGCAATTTTAGACCTGCATTCCACAACCTGGACTCTGTAAAAATATAAATGTAAACACAACATTTTAAACACAACAGGGCCAGAACCTGTTGGCAAAGAAATTTGTACTGTTTCACAGTTTGTATTATATAGGTTTATGCTTTTCTGTTAAAAGTGAATGATAACAGCTATTTTAGGGTATTACTGAAAAAATTTAAACCCAAATCTAATCAAGCCTCTAGATCTAACTATCAATGTATAGAAAACATGGAGGGAGAAGAAACACAGAAAATGACAGGATGAGGAAACAATTGGTCAAATATAGAATATGGGAACATCTACAGAACAAATGACAAATCATTAGCATTTAAAGGGATGCGGCAATTACAATAAAAGAGATTTAAAGAGATAAAACTGCTATGGACTGGATGTTTGTGGCTCTGCCTTCCCCAACCCCCAATTCATATGTTGAAGCCCTAATCTGCAAAGTGACTGTATTTGGAGACAGGAAGTTGAAGGAGGTGATACAAGTTAATGAGGTCTTAGGTAAGCCCTAATCTGATAGAGCTTGTGCCCTTGTAAGAGGAAGAAATAGCAAAGCTCTCTCTCTTCCCTCCCTGTGAGGACACAGCTAGAAGGCAGCCATCTGTAACCACAAGGGAAGAGTTCTCACCAGACATCAGCCATGTTAGCACACTGATCTTGGACTTCTAGCCTCCAGAGCTGTGAGAAAATAAATTCCTGTTGTTTAAGCCTCCCAGTCTACGATATTTTGTGATGGCAGCCCAAGCAGATTCAACAACCAAAGAGAAAATACAGACATCTTTTTGATCTTGATTCAAACAAATCAATTGTAAAACAGCATCCCTGAGACAATTGGGAAAAATTTAGTATGGGCCAGAAATTAAACCATATTAAGGAATTATTATTTGTTAGGTATGATAATGCTGTTGTGTGCAGGGGGGATGTTAAAGTCCTGATGTAATAGAGATGTTTACTGAAGTACTTATGAGTAAAATAATATGATGGGATACACTTAAAAACACTTCCAAAAAAGAACAGAAGATTGGAGGAGGACAGGTTTAACAATTTGGTAGGGCTTCCCCGGTGATCCAGTGGTTAAGAATCTCCTTTATAATCAGGGAGCACAGGTTAGATCCCTGGTCCAGAAAGACCCCACAATGCCTTGGAGTAACTAAACCCATGTGCCGTAACTACTACTGAGTCTGCACTGTGGAGCCTGCGCTCTGCAACCAGAGAACCGGCCGCAGTGAGAAGCCCTCACACTGCCGCTGAAGCAAGCCCACGCCCAGCAGCGAAGACCCAGCACAGCCAAAAATAATAAAGAAATAAGAAATGTTACTCCCATTAACAAATGTGGTCAATGTAACAACTACATAAGTAGGTATATGGTGATGGTGGGTTCATTTTCCTCTTGTACTTTAGTGTATCATTGAAACTTTCTATAATAATTGTAAAAGAATGATGAGAAATACTATACACACAAAGTATATTAAGAAAGGGAATTTGTCAACAAACATTTTAGAGTACTCAATAACTTATTTGGTAAGAAATAAAGTATAAATAAATCCATACTAGCAAAATTATTGATCTGTGACCCTGGAGTCTATTTTTAAGTTTACTTAAAAAAAAAAAACTTTCATTTTCTTAAATCCCTAATCAAGCAAGAATGTTTGAAAAAGAAGCCTGAGCACAGCAACTGGTTCTCACCCTGGTGGTGGATGAGCTGCAGTAACATCCTCACCTGGTCACACCCTTGGCTCCCTATCTGCACTGCTTTCAGGGCTCAAGTCACTTTCTGCTCTACAATGCAGTTCAGTTCAGTTCAGTCGTTCAGTCATGTCCAACTCTTTGCAACCCCATGAATCGCAGCACACCAGGCCTCCCTGTCTATCACCAACTCCTGGAGTTTACTCAAACTCATGTCCATCGAGTCAGTGATGCCATCCAGCCATCTCATCCTCTGTCGTCCCCTTCTCCTCCTACCCCCAATCCCTCCCAGCATCAGGGTCTTTTCCAATGAGTCAACTCTTCCCATGAGGTGGCCAAAGTATTGGAGTTTCAGCTTCAGCATCAGTCCTTCCAGTGAATACCCAGGACTGATCTCCTTCAGGATGGACTGGTTGGATCTCCTTGCAGTCCCAGGGACTCCCAAGAGTCTTCTCCAACACCATAGTTCCAAAGCATCAATTTTTCGGCGCTCAGCTTTCTTCACAGTCCAACTCTCACATCCATACATGACCACTGGAAAAACCATAGCCTTGACCAGACGGACCTTTGTTGGCAAAGTAACGTCTCTGCTTTTTAATATGCTATCTAGGTTGGTCATAACTTTCCTTCCAAGGAGTAAGCGTCTTTTAATTTCATGGCTGCAGTCACCATCCGAAGTGATTTTGGAGCCCCCAAAAAATAAAGTCTGACACTGTTTCCACTGTCTCCCCATCTATTTCCCATGAAGTGATGGGACCAGATGCCATGATCTTTGTTTTCTGAATGTTAAGCTTTAAGCCAACTTTTTCACTCTCCTCTTTCACTTTCATAGAGGCTTTTTAGTTTCTCTTCACTCTCTGCCATAAGGGTGGTGTCATCTGCATATCTGAGGTTATTGATATTTCTCCCAGCAATCTTGATTCCAGCTTGTGCTTCTTCCAGCCCAGCGTTTCTCATGATGTACTCTGCATATAAGTTAAATAAGCAGTGTGACAATATACAGCCTTGACGTACTCCTTTTCCTATTTGGAACCAGTCTGTTGTTCCATGTCCAGTTCTAACTGTTGCTTCCTGACCTGCATACAAGGTTTCTCAAGAGGCAGGTCAAATGGTCTGGTATTTCCATCTCTTTCAGAATTTTCCAGAGTTTATTGTGATCCACACAGTCGAAGGCTTTGGTGTAGTCAATAAAGCAGAAATAGATGTTTTTCTGGAACTCTCTTGCTTTTTCGATGATCCAGCAGATATTGGCAATTTGATCTCTGGTTCCTCTGCCTTTTCTAAAACCAGCTTGAACATCTGGAAGTTCTAGGTTCACATGTTGCTGAAGCCTAGCTTGGAGAATTTTGAGCATTACTTTACTAGCGTGTGAGATGAATGCAATTGTGCGGTAGTTTGAGCATTCTTTGGGATTGCCTTTCTTAGGGATTGGAATGAAAACTGACCTTTTCCAGTCCTGTGGCCACTGCTGAGTTTTCCAAATTTGCTGGCATATTGCGTGCAGCACTTTCACAGCATCATCTTTCAGGATTTGAAATAGCTCAACTGGAATTTCATCACATCCACTAGCTTTGTTCGTAGTGATGCTTTCTAAGGCCCACTTGACTCCGCAGCTGCTGCGCGGGCGCAGGAGGGCCGAGAGGAGCTACCCCACCTTCAAGGTCAGGAGGGGCGGCCGTGAGAAGATATCCCTCATCCAAGGTAAGGAGCAGCGGCTCCGATTGCTGGAGCAGCCGTGAAGAGATACCCCACATCCAAGGTAGGAGAAACCCAAGTAAGATGGTAGGTGTCACAAGAGGACATCAGAGGGCAGACACACTAAAACCATAATCACAGAAAACTAGCCAATCTGATCACAGGACCACAGTCTTGTCTAACTCAATGAAACTAAGCCATGCCGTGTGGGGCCACCCAAGATTGTCGGGTGATGGTGGAGAGTTCTGACAGAATGTGGTCCACTGGAGAAGGGAATGGCAAACCACTTCAGTATTCTTGCCTTGAGAACCCCATGAACAGTATGAGAAGGGAAAATGATAGGATACTGAAAGAGGAACTCCCCAGGTCGGTAGGTGCCCAATATGCTACTGGAGATCAGTGGAGAAATAACTCCAGAAAGAATGAAGGGATGGAGCCAAAGCAAAAACAATACCCAGTTGTGGATGGAACTGGTGATAGAAGCAAGGTCCAATGCTATAAAGAGCAATATGGCATAGGAACCTGGAATGTTAGGTTCATGAATCAAGGCAAATTGGAAGTGGTCAAACAGGAGATGGCAAGAGTGAATGTCGACATTCTAGGAATCAGCGAACTAAAATGGACTGGAATGGGTGAATTTAACTCAGATGACCATTATATCTACTCTACAATTAACCCATGACAAATCTGATGAGAACGTTTCTGAAAGTAGACTCTACATCTGATCACCTCTGTGACCCTTAATTGTGTTCAAGGCCACCCCAGAGATTCTGATTTAATTCACCTGGAGTAAAATTTTTAAGGATTCTTATTTGCAGACTGAACTGAGAACTACAGGGCCCTAATTTATTCTTGGTGATAAGAAACATTTATTAAATCAGTGAATAAATTAACAAAGTGTCTCCCTTGATTGTCAGAACAACGGGAATGCAGATGGGAAATGCCATCCACATTTTACAGTTGGAAAAGCAGATTCAGAGAAAAAGGGACATTCTTACCCTACCTCATGAAACCAACAGCCTTAGAAATATCCCTCCCCAGTAGGGAAAACTACCGTCCCCACAAGGAGCAGTTTGCCTCTGTCCCTGCCCTGGGCAAGGTCTAGGGACAAAGAATGGAGGTGGAAGCAGAAGTGAGGATTGTGTAGTGGGTGCTGAGTCCCATGGGTGATTCTCTCAGTGAGGAGAATGTCAGGGAGAAGGTATTGGGGAAGGTAGGGTGTAGTGCTCAGTAGTGGTTGACCAGCAGGTCAGGCTGTATCATTTCCATAAAATCACACAATGTTTAAGAATTGCCAAGGACTCTGTTCCCATCACTCTCCAGAGAAGAGCTCCAAGAAACCCAAATCCAGGTCGCATCTTCCCCACTTCTGCTTTATCCGCCCACTCCCTGCGCCCGACGTGAAAAGTGCCCAACCCCTGGGCCTCGAACCGGGTTACACAATGCGGCAAGTGGTCCTTGCAGCCGGAACGACCAGGTCCCCCTCCGCTTCCCTTCCATGCACTCAAGCCCACCATTCAATGAACACAGAGTCAACGCATCATCAGGAGCCATAAGAGGAGGCTGTCAGGGGAGGTTAACGCGCTTGAGAGCAAGAGCCTGTCCTTTGCTGATTGCTGCAGCGCCGGATGTGGGGGCGGGTGGGGCGTGAAAGCAGTTGGTTGGTTTTTTTTAAAACAGTGTGCAAAGGTGGCGCCTAGCAAGATCTTGGAGGAAAGGAGCAAAGTTCCTGCTTCTGAGACCCTCCCAAGCCCCTCGCCTAGCGAGTTGCTTAAGGTCTGCTGCTGCTGCTAAGTCGCTTCAGTCATATCCGACTCTGTGCGACCCCACAGACGGCAGCCTACCAGGCTCCTCTGTCCACGGGATTCTCTAAGCAAGAATACTGGAGTGGGTTGCCATTTCCTTCTCCATTCTTAAGGTCAGGTGTCCGGAACCCCCGCGTCTCTCCAAAACCCCGCCCCAAAACGCATTTTATCTTAGATTAGGTTGGGACTAGATGAAGCGGTAAAGACATTTTAACTGGAACTGAACTGCCTTGATTTACAAATAAACAAACGGAGACCCGACTGGGGAAGTGACTCGCTGAAGTCCGCAGAGCGAGTTAACAGCTGATCTGGACCCTTACAATCTACCCAATAATCTCCCATTCCCCTCTGTAGCTACCTGTTGCCATGGTGATGAGAGCAGGCTCCGGCTGAGGCTCCGACTGTAGTCGAAGGAGGCTGGAGAGGCTGAGGAACGGGCTAGACATGCTGACCATGAGCCAAGTCCCATCCAGGGCTCGCGGGCAGCTCTGCCCCGGGGTCAAGCCGCTGAGCCATTTGGCCGAGGCTGGGAACAGGATGTAGAAGCTCATCTCGCAGCGTGGCGCGGGGGCGTCCCGGGGATACCGCCTGAAGGCGGCCTGAAGGGCGTCCGCGGGGTCTGTGAACGCAGAGAGAGGCGCTGCAGGCGTAGACTTTCAAAGGTGCAAACTAGCCGGTCGTGAGAGACTGAGAGGGAGGACCGTTTCACTTAACAGCTGGGGGAAACTGAGGCCCGAGGTCACTGAGACCCAAAGGGCTGGGGGGTTTCGGGGGAGGCAACAGTTGGGAGCGAGTCTGGGATGACTCACCGTGAACTTTGAGGTAGCGCTCTGGGGCGAGGTCCGGTCGGGGAGGTGGGCTCTCCGTGCCCTGGCGCAGCAGCAGGGCAGCGGGTTTCTTGGCCAACTTGCCCCCGCCCGCATCCTCCACGAACCAGCACTCAATCACCGCGGGTCTGGCCGAGACAGCGGTCGCCAAGCCTTGGGAGAGGGCGCGAGTGAGGGCACGGCCCCAACCTCGGGTGACCCGACCTCCCCCATCCCCGGACGTGGCGGGGCTCACCTCCCACCGTTCCCTGTGCAAAGAGTCACGGGGGTCGCTCACCCAAAGCCACAGCGAGGAGCAGGGACGGGCGCTTCATGGCGCTCGGGTTTCTCAGCTCCGAAGACGCCTCTTCCTCCTTTCACTTTCACTTTCCTCCAAAGGCCAGCAGGTGGGGCGGAGGAAATCCCCTCTCAGGGTACGCGAAAGCTCGCGGGAGGCAGGTTCTCTCCCCTCCTTCCCCCTCCCCTGCGCCGGGCGGGGATCCCGGAACATCCTCTCCAGTTGGGGAGTTCCAGTCTGGGGACCTCAGCCCCGCCCAGCCCTCCTGGACCACCCATGGCCGCAGAGTCCCGGAGCCTTCCCACACCCGAGGCGCCCCCACCTGTCCCCTCAAGCCCGAATCCACTTCCCTGAGAACCATTACTCCACCTTCCCCCACCTGTGCCAGGTCCCAAGCAGACACATCGGGGTTGTCGGCAAGCCAAATGAAATGACCAATAAATATTTTAATCACTGTTTAGAAAAAATAAGATTTAAAATAAAAACCTGTACTCCTACGACTTAGTCCCTCCTTGTCTCCATTCCCCCCCTCCCCAGTGAGAATTGAGTTGGGGGACCTCCAAAGTGGGGGAGGAGAGATTAGGGTAGAAATAAAGGGCACATCCGTTTTGGGGGGCAGGCTAGATTCTAGGACAAGGGCGGGGCTCTAAGGCCTGGTCCCCACAACTACACAAACACAGACTTCAGGTACAGACTACAACCACCTGACCCTTGACCCAGTGAGTCCTGGATGCTCAACAAGCCCCCTCACCCCCACCCCCACCCCCACCCCACATGCGCCCTACTCGGGAGCTGGGGCTTCTGTGCACCCATCTGCAGGGAAGGAAGGGCTGAGTTACAGGGATACTTTGGGGAGGAGGGGCTGAGGAGTGGAATGGGGTAGCCCATAGTGCGACGCGGTTCCCCCTCCAGGATATATATACAAGTCCATAGAGACAGGAAGACAGTGTGTTGGGACATCACCTAGGGTCCACAGCGCCCGAGAGTCGTGATCCCTAATCTCTCTTCCGGGAAAGCTACCCCAGTGGGCCGCCCCTTCAGTTTGCTCCGCCGCCCCCACTGAAGCCCATTTCCACCTTGTGGACACTTAGCGGGGACCAGACGCATCGGCTGGACGGGGGCGTGGCCCCACTCGCCTCGTCGCCGCTGCCCCCGCCGCCTGCGGGAGACTCTCTCTTGGGCTGCAAGGCCGGCCCGCTGGGCCCACCCCCGGGGCCCGGTCCAGCCCCGCCCCCTCCACCTAAGTGGTGCCGTCGCTCACAGTGTCCCCGGTGGCGCATGAAGCTGTCTCGCCACATGAACTTCTTAGCACAGACACTGCACTCGTAGGGCTTAAGACCCGTGTGCGTCTTCATGTGCTCCGTCAGGTGATGCTTCATCTTGAACTTTTTGTTGCACACGGGGCAGTCAAAGGGCCGCAGGTTGAGGTGCATGTTCACATGACGATCTCGCATGCTCTTGTGGGAGAAGGCTTTCCCGCAGTGGCACAGAAAGATCTTATTTCCATCCCCACTGCCTGTCCCTCCAGGGGTCCCACCGGTACCACCTGGCCCTCCCAGGGCCCCTGCCGATGTGCTCCCCAGGGTCACCGCCCCATGTTCAGCTTGGTTCCCCGGTGGCTGTGAGGAGGAGGAGGATGAAGAGGATGGGAAGACTAGGATCTGGTTGCCCTGCATGTCCACTGGGAGCAGGGGCCTTGGAGGGTGGGCAGGAGCATAGGATGAAGGGGTTGGTCCCCCTGAATCATCAAGCCCTGCCCCAGGACCCCCACCTTCATAGGGACTAAAGTCATTGGAGGACTCACAGAAATTGACCTGCTCCTCTCCCTTGTCCGGAGGCTCAGACAGGGTCCGGACATCACTAATGCTAAGGGTAGCCTCAGGTCCTCCCCCTGCTGGAACCCTGGAGCCACCCCCCAGCTCTTCATCTTCATCATCCTCACAGGTCAACACCAAGTCTTCCTCCTCCTCATCCTCTTCCAGGTCTGGGTCTTGAGGAGCCAGGGGTGCCGATGCTGGGCAGTTTCCACCCCGCTTCACATATACCCAGTGTTTCTGTGGCACAATGCTGGGGGGTGCATAGGTGGTCCGGCGGAGCCCAGCCCCAGGGACCACTGCACCCCTCCCATCCCCACCGTCATCACACAGCTCATCTGCCTCCAGCAGCAGTTTGCCAGAGGTAGCACCCCCACTGCCAACCACAGGGGCGGGGAATACAGGGCCGCCTGCGCGGCGCTCCCCACTGCCCACTGCCGAAGCTGCAAAGGCCTCCTGGGAGGAAGATGAGAAATCAGTGGACTCCCGGGGGCTGAAGTAGTTGCTGCTGCTGGGGGACTGATTCTCACTGGCCCGGCTGGAGGCATGGGAGCGCACAGAGCTCACAGTGGCAGAGGCCACCGTGCCCCCACTCCCTGAGGGGACCCCAGCACCAGGGACAGTGACCGACGTGGCTGCAGCAGTGGTGACGGTGGTGGTGGTGGCTGAGGCCCGGCCTTCTCGGAGGAGTTCAGTGCACTTATCCACGATGTGCCACATTTGGAGCACGGACCCCACTGTGAGGAAGTTAACAATGTCAGCAGCGGCCATGCTGAGGCGGCCAGTGTAAGCTGAAGCCAAAACAGTCTCAAAGGCTCCTGGGTCCATGACGCTGGGCAGCGAGATGGAGGTCATGCCCTTGAGTAGGACCTGGTCGTGGAAGTAAGGGGAAGAGGCAGCCAGGACAGCACGATGAGCCCGGAACTCCCGTCCCTGCACCCGGATGGACACATCACAGAGCTGGCCCTGCAGCCGCTGCTGATTGAGAGACTCCAGGAGGGCACTGGTCACCTCTGGGAAGGACACATGCACCACCGCTGCTGCAGGCAGGGGCAGTGGTGGCGGGGCCAGTGATAGAGGCAGGGGAAGTGCTGCCCCGCTGGGAGACAGAGGAGATGGCTCCATGGTGTGGAGGGAAGGGGTACCCCCCCAGCCACAGGAACAAGGGAAGGAGGAGGGCGGCCGGGGGGGTCTCTGGAAAGAAAAAGAGAGACGAATGATAACATCTCATAATGACACAGCCCTTTACAGTTTAAAAACACATTCACATTTATTATCTGGGTAACCCCCTACAAGGACACTATAAGGTAGGCACTCCTCTCAACCCCATTTGACAGATGAGAAAACTGAGGCTCAGAAAGATTCAAGGTCACACCATTAAGTGGCAGCACCCACAAACGCAGGAGTCCTAACTCCAAATCCAGTGCTCTTTCTTTGGAGGTTAGAGAAATAAGGTACTCCTGGGGACTGGGGTGACTCCCCTCAGAAATTCCCACTTGCCCTGAGAGCCCGACTTAATAAAATTTACCTTACTGGGGTTTTGTACACTTTTCTTGGGTGGGGGGGGGCAGGTCTGTTCTGGCATCGAAAACCATTTCCCTTTAGGCCATGCCCCTGGCTGGCCACGCCCCTTGCCCCCAGTTATCCCTAATCGCCCGTCTCAAGACCCGCCCCGTGGCCTTTTGGCTCCGCCCCTGAGTACCCCCGCCCACATAGGACCCCGCCCCCCTCTGCTCCGCCCCAAGCGGTACTTCGACCTCCTCTCCCACCCGGAAGGCGCCCCCGAACCCCGCGCGTCCCCGCTTACCGGGCCGCGCGCCCCCGGGCCCCCCCGCCCCTCACTCGGCGGCCAGAGCCGCAGCCTGGGCCCCTCCCGCCGCCATCTTGCGCCGACTCCCTCCGCCCTCCGCCTCCGCTCCGCCTCCCGCCCCTCAGGCTTTAAAGGCACAGGCGAGCACCCCGCCCGAGCCGCTGGGCAATACTCGGCCGACTCGGCCACTTCTCCTTTAAAGAACGGCTGCTTCATTCCACCTTAAAGGTTCCACGTCTCGTACGCCGCTCAAGACTCAGGACTCGGGTCTGCCGAAGCTCTCATTCCCCTTTAATTTGGTAAGCCTGCCTCTTCCTATTGGCGATGGGTCTAGGCCTCCGCTGCTTGGGCTCCGCCCCTGAACTGTGGCCATTAGCGCGTTTACGATGTCTAACCGCCCCGGTCGCCCAGCTTCTGACAGTCCTCCTGAAGCCCCGCCCCCTACCTCTAGTCCTGGATTGGCTAGATAACCTTGAGTCGGCCCCTGATTGGCTTTTTTATTGCTGCCGCTCGAGTGGGAAAGAAAAGCACATTAAGGAGGCAGAAGCGCATTTTAGTGCCTTGCAGAGGGCAAGGAGGCCTGAGGATGAGAAAAACTCCAACAGAGGCGTAAAGGCAGCTGGACAGGGCAGATCCAGGGCTGTCCCGGGGGAACGGCTAACCCTGAGCCAGAGAACAGCTGGTGCCAATCACCAGCTGGTGAAGGCGGGACAAGGAAAAGACAGGGATACAATAAGAAAAGAACTTTATTGTTTATTAATGTTTCTGTGTAAAACTTAAGCTTTGTTGTTGTTGTTTTTAAAAAGAAACCACCAAAAGGCGATTAGCTCAGTCCATCCCTTCCTCAGTCATGTGCTTCCTACCATCCTCCAAGTACCATCCCAAACATTTTGGGGGCAGGGGGGAGGGGGAGGTGGTTAATCAGAGTCTGAGAGCACGATGATCTCCTCGGGATCACACTGTGTGGCCACACTCATCTGCAGGGGAGTAAGAGACAAAGAGTCAGAAAGGTCTGGAACATAGTGGAGGAGAAGCAAGGGAAGGACTTTATCAGAGATCAAAACTTAGGGTGGGAAAAAAGAGGGAGGAGGTAATGAGTGCAACATTCAGACAGAGAACCCCAAATGAATAATGAAAGACAATGAAGTTAGGAAACACAGCCACCCCCTCTTACCTTATAAGTACCAGGCCTGGAGGGCTGTGACTGGGGAGTGTGGGACACCCGGGTTGGAAATGGGCTACAGAGGGAGCTGGTCACCAAGCCATGGCTAGGAGAGTCCACCCTTGTGGAGGAATCAGCAACTGGAGCCATAGAAGCCAAGGGGGAAGGCGGGCTGGGCAGGGTATGTGTCTTCTGCTCGTTCTTCTTCTGCACTGCCCTTGGCATTTCCACATGGCTAAAGACAGAAACACACATGGGAGGAGGGGTATGTGGAGCCTGAGGCTGGAGGGGGAGCGTGCAGTTCTTCCCCAGACTCCTTTCTACAATATTTCTCTCAGAAAGCCCCTTCAGTCCCTCCATGGCTTCCCTCTTTCTCCTGTTGCTGTTACCTCTTTCCTAACGGCCCAGCTTCTGTTTGCTTCTCCTTCCGAGATTTCTTGCGGGGGGGACTGGAATCCCCCCAGGTGTGAGGAGAGATGCCTCCATTGAAGGAAGTGGAGGTGACCATGGCGGCCCCATTCTCCAACACAGTGGTGAGGAGGTCCTCTGATTTCTTGGAAGAGGAAATGTCCCTCTCCTCAGGGGAAGGAGTCGTATCCAGGGGCAAGGCTTCAATCTCTAGCTCGAAGAGCTGAGACATAGGGCTCTCTTCCTCCAGGGGCAACTCCTCGAGGTGCTCTTCCCTGCTTTCAGCAACTACATTAGAGGGGGCCGGGGGCTCTTCTGCCAGTAAAGATGGTGACTCTGTGAGTCTTTTGTTTTGCTGCTCCTCTGAAGACCCGCTGTTCCCTTTATGAGGTTCCAGGTTCTTTTCAGTGGAGATCGCTAGTGGGGACATGGGGCTCTTATCTCCATCCTTCCCTGGAAAAAAGGAAAAGAGCAGACTGGCAGCAAAAGAACTGGGGGAAAGAAAACTGCCGAGAGGACACTGAGAGTAAGAGGAAGAAGGAAAGGATCTCAAAGAGGGGGCTCGTGCCCAACAGAGCAGAGAGAGCTGACACATGAGAAGACTGTTTCCTTGACATACCTGCTTCCTCCTCCTCCTCCTCCTCCTCCTCCTCTTCATCGTCCCCCTGACCTTCCTTCATCTGTTCCAGATCCTCCTCTTCTTCGGAATCTGTGGCCTCATCTTCTTCCTCCTCATCGTCCTCCTCTTCCTCTTCCTCTTCTTCCTCCTCCTCTTCACTTTCCTCATCTTCTTCATCATCGATCTCAGCCTTGGAAGTGGTAGGACACTCCTGGGATGCCATCCCACTAGGGCCCTGCAGAGGACAAAGGAGTTTCCTGAAGGAATCTGTTGCCCCATTCTCAAAGGAATGCTTCTTGCATTCCTGCTGCACACGCCACGATCAGTCACCCCAGACTCCCTCCTGGCCAGTGCAGGGGAAGGACAAGGTCTCTCCTTTCATACCTCACCAGAATCCAATGAGGATTTGGGGGTATCTTCAGAATGGGAAGAGGTGGCCTGGGGGAGCCGGGCTCTTCTCTTCTGTCTCTCGCTCTCCTCACTCTTGTCTTGCATCATTGCGTACTTGGAGATGACCTCATCCAGCCGGCTCATAGCCAAGCTCCGGTTCTCCCGCAGGCGTCGGGCCAGGACAGGATCTGACAGTGCGGGATCAATGCCTGTGTGGGAATATATAAAGTCAGTGTAGTCACCCAGAACTCTAGAAGAAGGAACTAAAGAGATGCCCACTCACCACACACACCTGACAAACGAAGGGTACCAAGGAGCATCTCACTAATGCCTACCTGGCCTATAGTCATCTGTGAGGTGACAGCCAAAGTTGTAGATGAGATCCAGGTGGCGACGCTCCTGTAACCTGATGCCCACATCTCGGAAGGCATCCTGAGCCATGAGCTGGAGCTGCTGTCGGGGGAGGCCAAGGCTGTGCCGAGCAGCTGCCTTCTCTACGGCCCGCAGTACATCTCCATAGTCAGGGAAGGTATCAGGCCCTGGCTTGTTGATGAGCCGCTCAATGCGCCTGTTGACCTCTGGGTAGCGGGTACCACGGTAAGGGATGCGCTGCTCTATGACTCGGCCTGTCAGTGAAGAGCAGTCTTTCAGCTCACACAGCCGCCCAAAGAGACGGATCAGCTTACGCTTCAACCTTGCTTCCTGCAGGTAAGTGGAGTCTGGGTCATCCAATTCTGAGAGATCCAACTCCTTTTCTTGCAGCCGCCGGATCTCTGCCACATACAGTGCCAGCAGCTGCTCCAAGCGCTGGATCTGCCGCCGTGAACCACGGGTCCTTGGGGCCTCAGAGGCAGTGGTCTCAGCATTTGGGTCCGAGGAGGGGTCTGTGGGAGGGTTATTCCCAGAGGGTTCACTAGAGGTGGTGGCAGCAGGGGCCAGGTTCAGCTTCTTCTTGGCTGAGTGGGCCTTGAGAACCGTGCAGAGCTCATTAATGTAGACATAGAGCTTAGCTGGCCGGTTCTGGGCCCGAGAGAGGACCCGAGAGAGGATGTTGCAGAACTCCGCCGAGGCCAAAAACAGAGGGTGGGCCCGCTGCTGCCGGTTATAGAGGAACGGGACCACCTCAGGGTGGTCCGCCGTCTGCATCTTACACAGTTCAAGGAACTGGAAGGTTCACGGGGGAAAAGGGAGGGGAAAAAGATAAAGGATAGGGTTGAGAGAAAGGTGAGGTGGGGTTAGTGGGGAAGAAAGGACAGGAGAGCCAGTCAGCCATCCCCCTCCCTGGGGCACGACAGTCTTCTCCCCTAAAGCTCACCTCTTCAAACAGCTTCTCATTCTCCGACTTGTAGCATTTCTTGCCGCCCGAACTACTGCTTCCTCCAGCCCCATGGGGCTGAGAGGAGCCAGGGGCTTCTGCCCTGGGTGAGGCCGGATTAGGGGGTGGGTGGGAGGGCCCTGGCTGAGCAGCGGCTTCATCTTCATCATCATCATCCAGCACGATGATGCTGTTAGCGGTGGCCATAGGGGATCAAATACCCCGGAGGGAGGAAGTGTTGGGGATTTCGTAATTCCTGCTGGAAGGGGATGGGGCCTTAGACAAGAGCCCCTCCAGCATCGCCCCATCCCTTCATCTCACACGTTTTCCAGTCTTCTTGGGTTTCAAAAGCACCCAGCCATGCCCAACAGTGTCCTCATTGCCTAGCTTCAGCAAGCATTAGTACTCTATGTTTTTCCGGCCCTTTACTGTGGGAGTTCCAAACCTTCTGAAAACCTGAAGTCCCACCCCCAGCTCCACCCCCCCGCCTATATCCGGTCTTTTTCAGTATCGTTTTTCCCACTATTTCTCAGAGTTGGCAAGTTGATTCTTCCTCTCAACCACTGGACGACCTCTCACGCTGCACTCGATTTCCTTGACATCCCCTCGAACAGATACAACAGCCCCGCTGGCACCACCGTTCTCCCTGTTCGCTCTCTCTCACACATATCAAATCTATACCCTCACCCCATTCCGAAAGATAAGCCCAACTCCGAGACCCTCTGAGCAGGAGGTTCCCTCCCAACAACCCATTCCCTTTTCTCCTACTTAAATTATCGCTATATTCCACCCTCTGATGGGTCTCCTCAAACCGAAGCGTTAGGTTGAAGATATTTCACCTCAAGTCCCCTCCTTCTCACCCCACCCTAATTTTCCCCCATTCTCTCTCAGTGACCTGTAACCGATCGTGAGCTCCACGCTGGGCTCTCCCGACTCCTCTCAGATTCCAGCCCTGAGTCCAGTCCTTCCCCTAAATGAGCTTCCCGCCAAGTCCCCCTCCCCCAGTTCAACCCCTGGCCGCCCCACTCCCCTTCAGGGATAGGAAGGAAGATCACACAGCTTGCCCCTCAGACTCAGCGCCCGGGACTCCCCAGTACCTCTCCCTCGACATTCCTGCCCCCGCCTTCGCTCCCCACACCGTCCGGCCCCCACCTCAGAAACGGTCTCTCGAGGCGACCCTCTCCGCTGATCTCAGAACCTCGCATGGTTCCCTCCGTCTTCCTTCCCCCTCCCACCGCGGGCCCTACTCCGTACCGGAAGCCGCGGAGTCTCCGCCCACACGCCCTGGGCGCGGCCATGTTGTCGCACGGAATCCAGTGTCCCCGTGAGGCAGGAAGGAAGGTAGGACCGCCCCACCTAGAGCCTCCGGTGCCGCCTACATAGTCTGCGGCTCCTTTCACCCTGACCTGCAGGGGGCGGATTTGTCGCCTCTGGGCGCCCTAAATAACTGGGGGCCGCCATTTTGCCGTACGGACTCTGGCTACGCCGGGACTGGGGCGCGCCGTCTGTGGAGCTCTTTTCACCCGGTGCTTCCGCGACTCAGCCAATCAGAAACTTCCCGTATCCCGGCCCAACCACCGGCTAGTCGCGTGCGGGGAGGACTGATCCACCTTTCTACGTTGGGGAGGTGGGGTGGGGGGAGTAACAGAACAGCTGGGGGCGAGGAATTGGGCCCTCCAAGGCTGAACAGGGATGCAAGGAAAGGCAAGAGTCTCTTAAAAGGGAAATAAAACCTTTTCTATCCGCTGGGCTTTTGACAAGCCTTGTGGCGCTACTTTCCTACCTGCAAGGTCCCAGTTTCCGCGGCTCAATCGACTGTACCTGTCATTCCTTTCTGGTCTGCGCGCTCCCTTGCAGCTGCCCAGAAGCTACTTCTACATCCAGGTGCCTACATCTCCCAATCATGAAGTCATAACACATGCATACAAACGAGCACAACACGCTATACAAATGTGTTGTTATTATTATTGCGATTGTTGGTGTGCTTTTCAGGCTCCACCACAGAACTAATGATCGACCAACCAAATAGGTGGGACCTAGTTGGTTCTCCGTCGTTTTCTGGAGGGGGTTCCCGAGGCGCAGGCGCTGATGACAAGGAGGCTGTGCTTTGTCCAGGAGCTCTAGGGCCTGAGGACAGGAGATGTGGGGAGGGAGCTCTGAGCAGAATCTGTAAGAGCTGTGAGAAGAAACAAGGCTCGTAAAATACCTTGAGTCTCGTCTCCTCCTCTTCCTCTGGGAGAGCTGATGAAGAAAGAGAGAAGAAACCAACATTGGCGCCCGCCTCGCCCACATCCTCACCCTAAACCAATTTTAGGGACATTGGAGGGGCTCGAAGAGGCAAAGCTAGGCCCAGAGGTGAGCTTCGGAGGAAACCGGAAAGGTTAACATGATTCCAGTCGCTGAGTTTCCCGCATCCTTGAGAATTCCACAGAGGGTGAGCATCTTGCCACTTTCTAGGACCACAGTCTCTTACATCCCCAAGCCCTCAGAGTTCCAGAACCTCAAACCCTCACTCCCATTAAAGAATCCCACACCACTTCTCTCCAGTCGTCTAAGCCTGTAGTCTTCAAATTGGGGGACATGAAGACTCGCCTAAGGGTACTCGGATTCGAGACATGTAAAGGATTAATTTCCAGATTCTCAGTTTTCCCAAAATTTGTTTTCCTGAATAAATGCCTGCACTAGAGCTTCTTCCTCTACTCTTTTACAATAGACTTTCTCCCTCTCTATTTAAAAAGAAAAAAAAAAAAAAGGTATAGTTCTTAGCCATGAAATCTCCTAGGGATAATTTTATCTTGTTTTACCTTGGTTGTTTTTTGTTTGTTTTGGGCCACGCCCAGGGATCTTAGTTCCCCAACCAGGGATGGAACTGGCTCCCAGCGCCAGCAATAAAAGCACCAAGTCCTAACTGATGGACCATCAGGGATTTCCCTTAGAAAGTGAAGTCGCTCAGTCGTGTCCAACTCTTTGGGATCCTATGGACTCTAGCCTACCAGGCTCCTCCGTCCATGGGATTCTCCACTTAAGAATATTGGAGTGGGTTGCCATTTCCTTCTCCAGGGAATCTTCCGGACCCAGGGATCGAACCCCGGGGTCAAACCCGGGTCTCCGGCATTGGAGGCAGACACTTTAACCTCTGAGGTACCAGGGATTTCCCTTACCTTGTCTTAAATAAAGAGACATGTAACAGTATTGTAATGTAATTATCATCTAATTAAAAAAAAAAGACATGTAGCCTATTTCTTTTAAGGTACCATAAACACCATCTCGTCTATCTCATTTTAAATGTACTTTTAATATTAATTATTATTATTAAAAGAATATTAATATTCTTGCCTGGAAAATCCCATGGATGGAGGAGCCTGGTAGGCTACAGTCCATGAGGTCGCAAAGAGTCTGACATGACAGCTACTTCACTTTTTTTAATATTAACAGTTATGAAAATGTGTAGAATCTTTGTGTTATTTAATCACTTCTGCTCTCATAATAATTGTAATGATAACCCAGAAGAAATATTTCTAAAAACCTAGAGTTTTATGGTCACAAGAAAAAAATATTTTTCATCTCAATTATAATATATATATGTAAGAAAGTGTGATAGGGGACTTCCCTGGTCATCCAGTGGTTAAGACTCTGTGCTTCCATTGCAGGAGGCCTGCCTTAGATCCCTGGTAGAGGAACTAAGATTCCCCCGTGGGTGCAACCAAAGAAAAAAAATTTTTAAAGTCTGATAAACTGGTCAATAAAAGACTTTCAAGTATAAAAGCATAAAATTGTGGGGAAGTCAAATGGTAATAGGAGTTCTAGGAAAATAGAGAATGATGGATTAAGAAAAGGAAAGATTCCAAATTATATTTTTTAATGAGAGCTAGTGGATATCATCACTCTGATATTTCAATTCTCCTGGACACACAAAAGATTGATTTATTTTAAAAAGTGAATATTTTGCATATCCCAGGAATTACATCGTTGGAACAATGTTAATTTATGATGATAAAGTTTATATGCTTACTTAGAAGTGCTTGAGAAGTACAAACTTTTTCGAAATTATTTCCTGAAGTATAGGTGCAGAAATTTTAAGACAGTTGCTCTCAGCTATCCAAGTGCCGCTCCAAAGCCCCCAACAGTGCCATTCCCCTCCACCCTGTATCCCCTCTCACCTCTGTGGCAGGGCAAGAGTACGTTTATAGGAAAGGTGGTCACAATTCCAGCTCCTCCTCCTTCTCAGGTGTTCTCAGGAGCCAGTCCTCAAACTTTGCCCAAGGTAGCAGCCATAGAAGCTTACAAACAGCCTCCAGCATCAGTAGTGTCACGATGAGGACCAGGAAGATAAAGAAGGCTTTGTCCATGGCCCGCCGCAGGGGACCCCTGGGAGGAGTGGGATGTCGGGCAAATGCCAGGAACACATCCTCCTCATCCACATCGCCCTCCTCCTCGGCCATTCTAACCCACAGTCTGACCGCTGGCTTGAGCGAGGTGGCTGGGATGGAAGCCCTTAGTCAGCCTTGCCAGGATTAAGGGGAGTGATGCCGGCAAGTCCTGCACCTGCCCAGCTTGACCCTAATTCCCCCAACCAAGAGGAAAAAAGGAGAGGAAGGCCTCTGAGTCTTTGAATGATCAATGCAATGTGAATGATCTGGAATAAATAATTCCTAAACTCTGTCCAGCTTTTGGGCTTCCCAGATGGTTCAGTGATAAAAGAATCCGCCTGCCAATGCAGGAGACACCGTTGGATCCCTGGGTCCGGACGATACCCTGGAGGAGGAAATGGCAACCCACTCCAGTATTCTTGCCTGGAGCCGGAACAGAGGAGGCTGCCTATAATCCACAGAGTTGCAAAGAGTCAGACACCACTGAGCCACTGAGGACGCACACACCCACGTCCAGCTTTTTAACTTGTGTTTCGGAAACTGAAGGCCCAACCGAGACCTGCTAGCTGCAGCTGCCCAAGTCATTCAAGGTCTCTAAGATTAAGGTTCAAGGCATTAGGCCCCTACAGCCCAGGACCTAGTACCTACTGTGAGCCGGGGTCACTCAACAACCTCAACACTGGGTGGGGCTGGGGGGAGGGGAGGAATGATCTAACCTAGGCGCGGTCGGGCGGCGGGGCGGGGCGCGGGGGTGCAGGCGGCAGGGGCGGGATAGGGGGCCGCAGAAGCTGAGGCGGCTCCAGTCTGCGCAGGCGTAGTTTTTCTCCAGGTCCGGGGCCGCTGATCTTGCTGCGCCAACACCTGGCACGCTGTCTTTGTGACTTCCAGTACGGTTATAACTGACTGCGGGTGCCCAAGCGGAGGTTTATAAAAAAAGAAAGGCAGTGGTTGGCCAGCGGAGCGACGGTTAACGATAGGGACTTAACTATTGAGGCAATAATAAGGAAGGGTGAGCTGTGCTTGAGGGGGCCTGGTCTGAGAATTGCTGGTGGGAAATGTCAGCGAGGACATTGGGACAAGGATTGAAGGCTTTTTCTTAACTCTGTTCCCCAGGCACTGGCCTGAAGCTTCGTGAGGGAAATCATAGTCCATATGGAGACCTGCCCAACCCCGCCCCGCCAAAAATGGTGGTTGGTAGGTGGAGTGCGGAGGGAGGGAACAGATCAAGAGGTAATAGACCTCATATCTGGAGTCACTAGGGTCTCTTAGCTAAACTCCACGTTGACCTTGATAAGAAAACAAATTTCCTTGGGAAGACCTTGTTTACTCCAAAATGGTACAACCAACGGATGTCACAGTTTTGCTTAGAATCAACTCATATTATCGTTTGCTGCCGCCACAGGAAACCACATTACCTGTCAAGAAAAAGAAAGAGAAACTAGATCGGAGTCCGAACTAATTATTTATATTTGTAAATCACTCACAGCTTTGTTTTTAAAATAATTTTATTTATGGCTGTTCTGGCTCTTTGTGGCTGTGTGGGCATTTTTTCCTAGTTGGGGCAAGCGGGGGCGACTCCCTAGTCGCCTATGCAGGGACTTCTCATTGCAGTGGCTTCTCTTCTTGCCGAGCAAGGCCTGTAGGTGCGCATGGGCTTCAGTAGTTGTAGCGCTTGAGCTCAGTAGTTTCTGCTCGCTCAGCTCCAGAGCACAGGCTCAGTAGTTGTGGCACGTGGGCTTAATTGCTCCCCAACATGTGGGATGTTTTCCCGATTGGGGATTGAACCCAGAACGTGTCCCCTGCATTGGCAGAGGGATTCTTTACCATTGAGCCAC